TAAGCATTTCAATACTCTCCTTCTTGTAAGAACAAATACTCCCTTTCTTGCTTTAGTATTCTGGATTCTGCTAACAACTCAATTGATTTAAAACTCAAAGAAGCTTTTTAAATAAATAAGATCAAACCTGAACTTAACAAACAATTACAGCATTATAACACTTTTCTAGCGTTTTAGTTCACGTTCACACCTTTGATGTTTGGTGTCACGTTGTAATTAGTAACCGCTTTTGTATTACATCTACTTGTCTGTTACTCACGTTCTGTTACTCATTGATTGAAGATGGCATAAGCATGCCGAAACATGTCTCTCAAAAAAGTTGTGTATTTCTTTATCATACTTGCTACTACTACGACCTTATGGAAAGATTTATTTTTATTTAAATCCCCCAGATTTCTTTGCGGGTGAAGCTAACAATAACAAATCACGTGACAGCACTTTCAACCATTTGTTCGCGCCGAGAATCGATGAGAGGCTCGCGCCAAAAACCAAATATAAACCATGTTTATGCAGTCATTTCACGACCTAGGAGTTTGATAACGTCCTAGCTGTGAGAAATCTTCGTTGGTTATTACTTGGACCTGCTCAAAAACACCTGGGATTTACCAGAGCTTGTATCTTTCCCACCGAAGCAACGAATGTTGGAAGACAGAAGCTGATGACTAAGATATCTACCCTGGACGTACTGGTCATAGAATGTAAGCAACGTGATTATTTTCCTTAGAGTTTCTTGGACCCTTTCCAACCATTAGTGCTTGTCGTAGATTTATTGTCTACATTTTGAAAGGGGGAATGTGTGGCCGTGCTGTCTGTTTGCGTATTTTGTGAAGATAACCTTCACTTGTTGCTAACTGTATTTGGTTGTATAATTTATTACTGTAAACTACCTGATTGAACTTGTCTCGTTAAAATTCAGGGTGCCTTCTTTTCTGCTTTTCCTTTCCTTGTTTCACCTCGGAGTTTCAGATTAAGATTACTTATTTATTTTCATGATGTTAGACGCATATTCTTTACTTTTGATTGTATTTAGCTCTTAAAAGATACAGTGAGGTGCTCCTAGGCTCATTTGCAATCCAAGTCAGTTGACCAGAAGTTGTAAAAAATTATGATAGCCCATACGACCCAGCAATCAGTCACAGAAGACTCAAAATCGTAAATTTTGTTATTAATCACCGACAAATGTAATTGTGACTGTTGCAGCCGTCTATTTAATTTTAAAGATTTTCTTACTAATATTCAACAGTAATTAATCCACCAAAGTTTTTTCTCCATAACCCATTAAAACTATTCTTACAGCTGGCTAATCGCAAATTCCCTGTTTTTACATACGCTAGAAGCTGAATGACCTTGTGAGCGATTTTAGAAATTTTTTAAGCTGATCAGAAGAAAACATATGTGAAATTTTGAATTTGGATTTTTTGGACATAAATATGCTTACCTACTCTTTAAACCTAAGCCCCTCCTGTTCTCTAAACCTCACGGTTGCGATCGATGCCTTGGAGCTAGGCGGGAGAAGCTCGCATTTTTGCGTGAATTTATGACCGTCACGAGGTTCTATTTTATACTAAAGACAATCAGTAGTACTCCTAAGACTCATGAAAACTCGCTGTCGAAATTATGGGAGAAGGCAAAGGTAGGGATTTTTGGTAAAACTTCGCTCTCGTTTTCGCTTCGTCAAGAAGCTATCGAGAAGTGAAAGCTACTGCTACTATTAGGCTAAATTTTTTACGTTATCTTGTATGCACCTTCCTCTACCGTAGATAACCGAAATGAGAATTGCTTTAGTGCTCTTTTTTTAACCTAACTTTTAGGTCTGAAGCGAAATTATTTGGACAGGAAGTACTTGTATTATAATTTGAGGTACTGCTCGATGATAATCGCCATTATTATGTTTGCTTCTTCGCTCAGGATGACCGCCGGTGGCTTGCCTCCATCTAAGCAAGAAAGCACGATCAAAGATATTGAAAAAGGTGGCGATTTGACAGAAGAAATAGCTGGTAAAGACTCGCAGGTTTTGCACGAAACACGATCTCAAAAACAAGTTTCGAAGAAACGTCTTCACGAAGACCATGCGGAAATTTTAACAAAGGACTCCAGTATTACTGTTACATCTGAAACAACCAATAGTTCTGTTGGTGTTTCGACAAGGAGTAGTACAAGACCTAACAAAAGAAAGAAATTGTCTGTTCCTCAATCTAACAAAGTTGGAAATCAAGGTATGTCCGCGTTTGTTATAGCTTTTTGCACGAACGAACGTTTCATACCAGACCGCCATTTTTGAATCATAAGAGAAGCGGATTCAAAACACGAAATTCGGCCACCATTTATTTTGATGTATTGGTGGTAATAAGCCAATGTAATTTTGCATTCTTCGTGAATTATAGTTTTGTATTCTTATTTTGACCGAAACATTTGTAGAATTATTGTCACAAAATGAATAACTTCACTTATAGTTTTGATCTGCTTCAGACTTGTTTACTGTATGTCGGCTAAGTGACACGTCTTACCTCGTAGTTAATCATGAAAAACAAAATCTCCTCTCGTCTGATTCCTTTTTCAATTTTTTTTGTGAAATTTTTATAACATTCTGAACAAACACCAACACCAAATATTTTGAGTTTTAAAAATGTTTGAGTGAGAACATTATGAAAAAGATATGATATTATAATTTGAAAAACTTTGCAATACACTGGTTGTTATGACTGCACAGTAAGCATAATGCAGGGCTACCCCTTCACTTGCAAAGTTTTTAAAGTGTTTTGTACACTTGATTAGCAACATAGCATTCTCACTGCCAGTAGATGGCTAGACATTTACAGGGATAATTTTTTGCTGATAGTTAAATTTGTTAAAAATTTTCCTAAACCTGGCGAAGTAATAGCCATACATTCATGTGATTCAAAATTGTTTTTGATTGTGCAGTCAGTCAGTCCAGATTTAGTTTCTAGGAGTTGTTGCTAGGGTAAATGTAAATGTTGCAGGAAGAAGTATTTGGAAAAAATTAAATTTGCCATGTCATGTTAAGCAAATTGTTACACCAGCTCCATGGGTATTGTCCTAAAAACTTTTCATGAAGTGTTTTTTAAAGAAAGAAAATGTAGTAGTTGTTTTCCCTAAGGCGGAGAAAGGCAGCATTGCATATTTACTCTGGTGATTTTGCTGCAATTTTTTTTTTTAATAATTCATGGTGATGTTGAGTTTTCAGTTTTGATTAAAAAAAAAATACCAAAAGAAATATCACATGGCTACATTTGATGCTGCAATTTCTTAGAAGCCCTTATGTGAACTTGAGGAAATGAACTTGAATTTCACAGAAATAACTTAGTCTGCACTCAATTTGAAGAAGCACGTAAATTGCCACCCAATTTAAAGCAAATATCAGGTGCCAGTTGCCTGTCAAATTACAGAGCTGCTTGTTTGTCAAAGAAGCCACTTGTCAAACACTTTTCCCTTACTTTTTAAGTAAGAAAATTATTTAATTTCCATGAAAAGTTCTGAGAGTGTCTTGAAACTGAAGTCTTGAAATTTGACTCTCAAAACTTGATTCCTGAAAGTGAACTCTAGAAACTCAATTCTGGAAAGTTTCGAGAGTAACATGTGTAGTTGAGAGAGATAGCCCTGTCACTCTTAAGATCTCTTTACTAATTCTCCATACTGTCTTATATACAATTCTTATAATGTTAGTTTGGAGAATTTGGTATTGGATCAACTGATAATTACCTAACTGTTATTTTTTATTTATTCTCGTCACTTGTCTGCTTGATTTTGTATTGAAATTATAAGGAGAAATTCTGTCTTGGTCATTCATGCGAGTAAAGGGTTAATTAACCTACTGTGTGGGAACTTCTTTGACTCTATGTGATGCTTTTGTAGTTGAGTGTTAAAGCATTAGAGCTACTTGCAGCGGTGAAGGGATATTAAGAGGCAATCAGTGTTTTTCTTTTCAAAGAAAATTGATTTCACTGGCTTGAAAAATGCATCTTTCATTTAATTTTTTTGTTTTGGTTTGGTTTTTATACAGAAAATAGTGCTGGTTGTGAGTTAGTGACCTCATCATCATCGTCATCACCACAGACAAACAGAAGAAAAAAACAGCCAAAAAGGCAGTGGGAGTCTTGGGGAAAGGCAGAAAAGGACACCTTTTTTGAGGCTCTTCATGAATATGGTAAAGACTTTGATAAGATCTGCAACTTCATTGCAGCAAAACATAAAAGAAGGGGCGATCCTCCTGCTCTGATTAAAAACAAAGACCAAGTTAGACATTTTTACTATCGTTCATTGAACAAGATTAACAAGTATCTTCCTGCTGAGTACCAAAGGGGAAGTGACACCCAGCAGAAGATGATTATTGAATTAAAAGGTTTGATTTGTTATGGAGAACTACGCAAGAAAATCTGTGGCTGGAATGACAAACATGGCAAGAAACTAGAAGAATTACTAAATCATGGGACAATTTCTATCCGTAGCAAAGGACGAAATTTCAAAGTTAAAGCACCTGTATGCCGTGCCCTTAAACGGCTGCAATCAGTAGGACGAGGCAAGGAAGATGGTGATGCTCAACCTCTTGCCATGCCTAATAAATTTGTTTTGGAACTCATGCCACATGATCATTTAGCCTGGGCTGCTGTGCAGCAGCTCTCAAAAAACCCAAGGTTGAGAATGTCTGTGCCAGCAAAGAAACCATTAAGTGGGATGCTTAATTTCCTTATGAAGAAGTGGCAGATTTTGTCTAGAAAGACTCTAGAACCATTGCAAATGTGTATTGTTGTGCCGCCGGAGATTAATGTTCTCGCAGATGTTACGGAAAAGCAAACTAATTCTCCAGTGAGTAAAACATCATCAGATGGGCCTGGCTTGGTTGAAAACAGTGTTAATGGAGATGTGATACCTGCAGAAGATTTAACAAAGTTGTGCTCTCCTTCTTTCTCTTTGGAAGAGAAATCTTCAGATGTAATTTTAAATGGACATCTAGAGAGTTCCACTAATGACATGGCTTGGAATGGGTGTAATAATTTACCATCTGAACCAAATACACCAGGCGGTGGTTGTGCAGAAAATTCCAGTCAAACTGATAAAACAGTGGACACTTTAATTGGTATGAAAGGTTCATCTCAGGGATTTGCTGAAGCAGCATGGGAACCATGTTTTATATCAGAGCCTGTTGAACACGATAAAGTTGAAACTTGTAGCAACAAAAACTGTCCCTCGCTTTGGACATTAAACACATGTGGGAATATTACTTTTGGAGAAATTTATTGCAAACTCAGAAGACCTCCAAAATTAAAACTGGAGTATACTTGGAATGGCATTGAACACAACCTTGCACCTTCACACACTGCCATTTCTCTGCCAAGACTTGTTGATATTGCAACAACAGAATTTACCAAAGTAAAAGAAAGCAATGATGAATCCAAAGCAACATCAAAATCCTCAGATACATCAGCTAGTAAGAACATCTCATGCTCTCTGTCCAAAGATAAAGGAACCACCTTGAGTGTATCAAAAGAGAAAGTTTCTTCTAAATTTACACGCCCTGCCACTAAAATAAATGACAAACTTCCATTTATCCTTCCATCTGTGGTTGCACCAGCCACACAAACATCAACTTCTAGAAGCACAATTTCTGATCTCTCACTACAAACTCGTCCTATGGCCAGGGTTCGCAAAAGGCCACAGAGACCAAATATACACCGAACTTTATTACCACGACCAGTTGGAAGTCTAAGTTCTGTCCCACCTGGTGCAGTAGCAGTGTCTTTTATTCCTCAACCAGGGCAAACTGTTGGCACCATCCTTGCATCAGGTGTGCCTACAACAACCTCATCAGGAACAACTCAGTCCAAGACAGTTGTTTCATCCAGATCACCTCCAGGTTTGTTTTCAACATTTTGTTGCATTTGGTCTTGTGTACATGTTTGTAGCTATCCTCCCAATCAAGTGAGTTTAATGTCTGCAGAATGATTTTTGCATGTCATCAGGCACTTCTGAAAGAAATGTCACCAACATTTGTCACAAGCATAAGGCAAACAAAATTCTGAGTCCCTTGCAGATAAGAGTTAACAAAACCTACTGGGCTATCAACTGGAGAGATACTTTTCCAGTGGGTAGTGTATCTACATGTATCCTTTGAACAACTGGTGCCAGATGGTTTACCAACTCATTTGTTAGGTGTACAAAGGTACCAGTTTCATAATTCAAAAAAGTCTTACTTACTACTAAAGTCTGCAGTGTTGAAAGGGTCCTTATTGTATTAGAAAGGTATTAGAATTTGAGCTTGCTTGGCAAATTGAGAAAGATAATAAGCCTTCCATGCCTAAGATTACAATACTTTCTCTTTGAATTGTTTCCCTTCCATTTTGTCTTCTGTTATGTCAGTAGTTTTATTTTTAAATGAAATAGCATCTCCTAGTTTATATTCTTGATTCTTTTCACCTGTCTTCTTGACATTTTTGTACATTGATATGAAAGAGAGAAATTTTTAATTGGTCATTCCTAGCCAGAGGGGGGGGGTGAGGTGGGGGAAGGATGGGCCCGTTGTCCCAAGTGTGTAATCATGAAGCCTCATACCCCAGCTTTTTCCAATTTGTTGTATTTTTAATTATGTTACTTAGAAATAATTGTCTAATTTACAGGGCTCAACACTTAACAGTAGCCCACTAGCCACAGACTAGTAGAAATTCAGTTTTGGCTAGTGGTTTTCAATTTCCATTAGTCAGTTTGGCTCGTAAACAGACTGAAATTGGTGTAACATCTAAAAACATCTAAGACGTCACTAGCCACTTGGCTACTAAGTTGAAAAGTTAGTGTCGAGCCCTCAATTTACTAGTCTCGTGCAGCTATTTTGGATTACTGTATTCCTGACGACTACATCTCATCAGTGCTTAATGCAATTAAATATTTTTAGTGGGAACGTCCAGTAGCTCAACACTAGCAACTGTTTCAAGCCTTGTGGAAAGGCCTTCGCCATCACTACCAGTGGTAGGAGTGGCAGCAGCAGAAAATGGATTTACCAATGCAAACCCAACAGACTTAAGTTTGGAAATGTCGGGATTTTCAGACACAGACCTTCTTGCTGTTGTGGACCATTTTGTTGGCAGCACAAAGTCAATACCCGACAGTGTTGTGGCCACATCCAACTCTGTGGACTCTATCATTGGTCTTGCTCTGGGAACTGCATTAGATGATGGTGCAACACCTACCTCCATTGCGGGAATGAGCGAAGATTCTAATTCAGCATTGTTAGCTTCTCTTACAGCTTTAAAAACTTCAAATTTAGACCAAGCCGCACAGACAGTGCAGAGAATTGGTTCGGACGCCTCTTCTAATGTGCATATTGAGGAACTTAATTCTGGAGTGGCTGGTGGAAGTATGTCATCAACTGTGACAAGCCCAACCTTGGAGAACATTTTGAACTCAACAAACTCAGTTGCACAATCTCCCACTTCATGTAATGTATTTTTCAATAGCGCAGGACCTATTTGCAGCATTGCTGATTCACAGAGTCAACAAGAAGCATTGATTGATAAAGAAAGCATTTCTGTATCATCCCTAATGTTATCTCCAAATTCAGAAAGTTCACTTCCAGCTTCATTTCAGACCCACTGGTTTAATGGAGAGGTATTAATTTTGATCATTTCCTCCTTCTTTGTAACTTACATATTTCTTGCCAACGTGTCTCTTTTTGGTACAATTTTCTAGATAATAAGTTTGTAATTACTATTTATGTCCTTGTTTCAGAATTCTAACTTTTCCATTGGGAGCCTTTTAGGTAAGATCTTGTTACTTACATGTAGTTAGCAGAAAATTCCAGCCACTCATGAAATATTGCTAGGCAGAGTTTGATTAACCCTTGAAACCTTAGGAGTGACCAACACCTAATTTCTCCTTACAATATCACTCCTATATCACACATTAAGGTCACAAGAATACAGGAAATGATCAGGTTGGCTGGTGTAAAAAATAAGATGCTGGACATGTTAGGGTTACAAGACAGAGCTCAGAGTTTAAAAATCTTAATTTTTTCATTTTTCAAGAATAATAAATGTGCTGATGCACTGATTTTGTTCATAGATAAAATGTCCACCTCACCTAAGAAAGATGAAAGGCTCCATGGCCTGGGGGTAAGAAAAAAACTATTCTTAAACTAATTGAGTTTCCTAGTCTCTCCTTTGCAATTTCAACTCTTAAAAAGGTCTCCACTTTTATCAAGTCACTGGAACCCATGAAGCACAAATTTTCTGGGTACATCATTTGTTAGAAAACTAGCTATTACCAAGGATCAAACTGATTTGATGTTTGCTAAAACGAAATTCACTGCCCAAATCTGAGATTCAAATAAAAAGTGGAACAGAAATGGTAGGTTTTTGATTTAAAAGTACATTTAGCATTTAAAGAGAGCAAACAAAATTCTCACCTTTCTTAATTTTAAATTGTTGTATTTATTTCCTTTTGTAGGAGTCTGGAGAGAGTGCATGTAAAGAACCATCTCAGGAAATCCTTCCCAGTGCCCACCATTTACTAGATGTAAGTCCAGCTCACTGCAATCAAGTAACTCTGCTTTATAACTATCAATTCCATTTGTTTTTTATCTGAGGAAACTTTTCATTTATTCCGTGTGTCTACTGAAGTGGACCACACATCATTTTGTAGCTTACTATATAGAGATGTCAGGCTATGAAAGAGTATAATTCATTATGTTAGTACTGAAGTAAGCCCCCTCTCTGACAAGCCTTTTCACCCCTCTTACTCCCAGACATAAATTGTGGTTTTGTCCTTGTATTTGAAAGTGAGAGAATCCCTCTTGTTGCAACCTAATTTTGCTTTCAACACATTATTAATTTTAGAAGAGCTTACTGTCTCAGTTTATCATTAATCCTGTTGTTATGTCTGTGAATGAACTATAATAAAGGACGCCTATTGTTAATCCTTTATAGCTTACTGTCTCAGTTTATCATTAATCCTGTTGTTATGTCTGTGAATGAACTATAATAAAGGATGCCTATTGTTAATCCTTTATAGCTTACTGTCTCAGTTTATCATTAATCCTGTTGTTATGTCTGTGAATGAACTATAATAAAGGACGCCTATTGTTAATCCTTTATTAACCCCCGAGCGTCACTAGCATCTAATTTCTCCTTACATTACCACTCCTCAATCAAACATTAAGGTCATGAGAACTAAGGAAATGATCAACTCAGAAAAGACTGTTGCAGGGCTCGACACTAACTTTTCAACCTACGAGCCAAGTGGTTAGATAGATAGACTTCTATATTTATACAGGATAGCCCCTTCAGTGTAGTAAACACTGTTATCAACGGGGGTCCTCTTAACCACCCATCCCACCCCTGGGGAGGACATCCATCACACAGTAATCTTGTGCGTGGGAAATTACGTTTCCTGCCCCTAACCCAGCAGGCGACGGGACCTCCATTTATTCGTCCCTATCCGAGAAGACTAGAATATCCAACCATTTCTTGATGTTAGAGAAAGGTAGCATATTCTTCTCAATTATTTTAAGACCCTGAGTGTTGGTCCGGCCGGGACTCGAACCCTCGACCTCGCGCACAACAGTCGAGCTAATCGGGAGGTGGTTAGTGACAACATAGATGTTACAACAATTTCAGATTGTTTACTAGCCGAACTGGCCAATGGAAATCGAAAACCACTAGCCAACACAGAAATTCTACTGGCTAGTTGGCTACCATTAGTGTCGAGCCCTGTGTTGATTGTTAAACAAATTCTCCTTGTCAGCACCTTAGGAAATTTATAGAGAATAGTATGGAGAATATGCATACTGACGTCAGGGTGTAAAGGGTTCAAATATTGTTTGGTTTGTCTTTGGATTCCCCACCATCGTTTGAACTTAATTACACTTTTGATTTTACACGTATTTGCATCAGCCAAAAAAAAAATGAAATAATGTAACCTTTTAAAGAAATTTGATATACCTATGGAATCGTTTATTATCGTGAAAGCGTTACGGTGAAGTAAGTATATCTCTAACCTCGCAAATTTCTTTACTGTCATAAAAACAGCCGGAGACAGCTTTTCATGCCATAATGGATGAAAATAGTGTGGACTTTGTGAAGAAATTCCAAGACTTGGCAAAGGAAATATCTGGAGAAAATAACAAAGCCCCGACAAGTCCAGCCTCAGATACCGTCTTCGCATCATCGTGTAATACAGAATTAAATGGCAGATCCTCTGATGACAGCAATAGCGACAATGGAATCTTCAAACACATCCTGAAACAAACAAAGGCGAACTTCAGTTGAACTTGTCTTATTGTGATGATTTGTTTATTTTCTTGGCCTCGTTTGTTGTCCAGTAATGTATTGCTACATAATATTTGATTTGTTGCCAACCAGGGGCTGTGATATGCTTTGGTTGTGTTGTAAGTAATTTAAAGTCGTAATTATATAGCTGTGTTCACCAGCGTAAAGTTCTGATCACTCTTTTTGAACCAGTGGATTTGCACATTTTCTGCAAGTTTCTGGAAACATTTGAAATGATATTGTATGGGAAAATTCT